CTAATCAATCATTAAAATTTCATGATGTTACACTTAATCTCAAACTATGAGCTCTCTTTACTCAAATTTTAAGGTGTCATAAGTACTTGTCCTACATCATCCAATCCATGATCAGTGATACTAAGCATCATGTCCAACCCATGCATAACCGTATATTATTAGCAATAATAAGCACATTACTAATAAAACATGCTAACCACTATACGCAAACTTAGCAGATGCTACACCATGTGGATTTTACCGACATAGCCTTCTACTAATTTAGAGTGAACTCTCACCTATCATGCTCATGATTTTAACACAACATATGCAAATTCACACTCATGCAAATCTCAATAATTAAACATATTTCTAATTATCAAAACTTGCATGCTTATTACAACTCACCAACAACAACATATTCACAACAGTGCATCACATTAACATAAACATTTCATAGCCAATCTAGACTCACATATCATATTTCAAATACCACATAGTATTTATATAAATATAGTTATTAAGCATTTTATCATCAATATACATTCTTATTACAGCCCTTTTAACATCATCAATTACAACTACTCATCATGCTAATACATTCACCTCACAACCAATCCAAGCCTAACATTTCACATATCAGTATCCACATAAATATAAACACTAGGCATTTATCACGAAGAGGCATGCTTCCCTAGCCTTGCATTAATTTAAAGTCAAAGAGTTCAATAACAACTTAGATAATTTAATACATAATATCAATAGTAATTTGTAATCCACAACTGTAGACACAATGATATATCATGATTAAATTTTTGGCTACCTTGCTTTTGGATTACTTCCCAAGAGTACAATTTGAATTTCAAGAAATCCTCTAACAAGCCCAAATACTCTTAAAGGCAGTTGATCTATAGTAACCATCATCAAATATCATTAATGACTAATAATCACTAATTAACCCTTAATTATGATTAAGGCCTAAGACCTTAATTAGAGATATTATAGTAACAATCCTGTTTTGAACTTTCATTAGCTTAAACTTAATTACCGTAATGATTATTTTACTTATATAACATTTACCTAGTCCTTACCTCCTCAAATCATCATAAAAACTTTCCCCAAAGTTTAGGTTTTTCATATTTAAGTAACCAATCACCACAATCATTTTCAAAACTACCTAAACTAAACTTATTTAACCTCAAAATCACTTTAGAATTCAAATCCAATGGCTGGGTACTTACAAAAATGAAAATCCAAGCATAAACTAGCTTAAAGAAAGGTTTAAAAAGCAAAAGCAAGATGGAAGAAGTTGCCTAAGTGATTAGGAGTCTAAAATTGTGCCATGACAAGAAATTGAAAACCCCAGCAGAGACTCATATTTTTACATTGAAATTTTTAGTTTTCACCTACTTATAAGTTCTATTAAAACAAAAATTGAAAGATAGAAAATGCACTATTCAATGCAGCGAAAAGTGCAGTTTCTACAACCAAAGGTACAATTTAACTTATCCAAAATTAAAAATTTATAATTAATTTCACACATATCTAAAAATTATGAGTTAGAACTCTATAGAAAGTTTGAAATGTCTGTTATCTAATGCAAAAAGAATTACTTAAAAATATTGTCATTTTCTCTTTGAAAATATTTTACTGTGAAGATAGCTCATTTTTTTCTTCTTCTAAGCCCTAATTGATTATAAATTATTTTTCAATATATTTAAGCACCATTAAACTCTCTTAAAATATTATTAACTTAATTAACGTGAAGGGTAAGAAATTGGAATGTTATACTTGTTACATGTGCTATGTTACAGCTAACCTGATTGCTAATCTTTAAGAATATTTGTTAATTTTGTAACTTTATTTGTTCATTTCCTTACATTATTTGCTAGCTTTGTAACTTTACTTGTAAAGTCCATGTGGCAAGTTGAATCCGTTACTTCGTAAATCATTATCATAACTTATAAAATTAATTGCATTACTTGTTAATAGCTTTACTTGTTAGTTTCCTTGTATTACTTGTCACATTGCAACATATTGAAAGAAAAATACTTTGATCATTTTATTTTAAAATTTTATTTCAATGTTGACCTAAAGCCAGGAAACAAGTGAGCATGGCCCATATGGTCTCAATCTTTACGTGCTCAAGCCCATAAGCTTGGCTTTCTTAATTTTGACCATTTTTTTGAAACTACATCTCTTATTCAAAGAGCTTAGAGCTAGGCTTGTGAGCTGTCAATTTAACCAAGTTAAAAGGCAAAACCAAATCTTATTGCAATTTGGATGTCATTGATTTATGTCATGTTGATTCAATTAGTTCAATTGATTTTGATCCACTTTAAATACCCTCAATTGAAATAATTTAACATTGACAATTAAATGATGTAAAACAAGTAGGAAAAATTACAAATAAGGATCTCCAAATACCATAAATAATTAATTTGAACTACAAAATTATGAAATTGAAATTTAAAGCTACTGTCCCTTTTTACAATTTTAAAAATAATATTTGACTAAAATGCCTAATGCTTATATTCAAGATTTGCAAGTTAGGGAGCAAAATTTTTTAAAAATGTAAATCTTATTATTTCCAAAACTATTTTTTTATTTGTATTAAGATGTCATTATTGGTGTTTTATTGCCTATGTTTATGAGATTTATGCTATAAAAGATAGTTATCATCTAAGACTCTAGTATGCCATCCTGAGCTTTCGAGCACTCTCCCCTCTTGCCCTCCTCGCACTTCTCTTAAGTTATTCTATATATTTTATGCTATTCTATCACCTTAATTGTTTTACTAGAGAGTTCCATTTAATTCTAGGGAGCTTCGACTATTATGCTGGATTTGCTCTTAGGGATATTGTCTTTGGGTACAATTCAGAACAAATTTTCTATAAGATTTTTCAACAATGATTTCACAACTCATTCAATTTATAATTTAATTAAAGTGATTTCAATAAATTACACATATAAGAGTAAAAGCTTTTTCAACTCCAATAAAATTATTTCATAACTCTCTTCAACTAAATTTCCAATCCAATTTAAGTGATTTTAGCATTAGTAAATTTTAATTTAATCAATTACAAGTCTAGTGACCAATTTTACATGCATGAGAGTTAAAATTTTTTTAACTCAACTAAAGTTATTTCATAACCACCTTCAACTAAATTTTCAACCCAATTAAAATAGTTTCAAGATTAATAAATTTTAAGTTGATTAATTACAAGTTATTTCATAACTCAACTAAAGTTATTTCATAACCACCTTCAACTAAATTTTCAACCCAATTAAAATAGTTTCAAGATTAATAAATTTTAAGTTGATTAATTACAACTAAATTTCCAATCCAATTTAAGTGATTTTAGCATTAGTGAATTTTAATTTAATCAATTACAAGTCTGGTGACCAAATTTACATGCATGAGAGTTAAAAATTTTTTAACTCAACTAAAGTTATTTCATAACTATCTTCAACTAAATTTTCAACCCAATTAAAATAGTTTCAAGGTTAATAAATTTTAAGTTGATTAATTACAAATTTGTGAGTAAAAACATTGCGTACTTAAATAAAATTATTTCAAAACTCTCTCCAACTAAATCGTTAATCTAATTAAAGTGATTTCAACATTGATAAATTTAAAAATAATATTTTAAATAGATATATTTTAGTCAAAGTATTATTTTAAGGCTCAAAAGAGCAATAAATTTGCATACAAAATCTAATAAAATTTAAAATTATTTTAAAGGCTTAAGGTGTAATTATATTTTTTAATGAAATGACACACGTGTTCCTCCCATAATCTACTCTGTTCGACTCTCTTCTTCCTCCTTGCTCCTCCCTCCCTCCCTCCCTCTCTCTCTCTCTCTCCAACACCAAGCCACTAACATAACTGCATATATATCTTCTCGCCCCTTCACAAACTCCTTCCCTTAATCGAACTCATCTTATCTTGTGTGACGAGCTCAATCAAGGTGGATGTAGAAGGTAATCGAGGAAGAAGAGAGAGAATAAATGACAACCATAGCTAGCTTGAGCCCTTGGGGTTGAGGGTTTTGGTTAGGGTATTAAAGTTGCAAAAGGCCTATATGGTCAAGTTCCTGGCGCTCCCGGGCCAACGTTCGAGTCGGGAGAGATGGTGGCAGGTCAGCCTTTTATGTGCGCAATGCCGGATTGTATATCGGAGAAGGTGGAAGACAGCATAAAAAAGGAAAAGGAGACGTGCTCGGACAACCCGGCAAGCGGTGAGTGCATGGCGGTGTGGGATGAAGTGGAGGAGCTAAGCGCAGCGGCCAGCCACGGCAGAGACCGAAAAGGGGAGTCGAACCCACTGGAGAAGTATTACCCGGACAACCAAGAGACCTTATCTCTCTATTTTTATTTTTATTTTTTATTGCTCCAGATATTTTCTTAGCTCTCTTCGTTTTGGCTTGCATCACCTTCTTGTCTGTTTTCGTCTCCATCAACTCTATTATTATTTCAAGTAAAAAAGATCGGCATTGAATATATGGAATTCAGATGTAAGTAAACTAGGATATTGTAGTATCGTTTCTTTATTGTCTTTCTCATGGTCCGTTTACAGATCTTGGGGTTCCAAGCTTTCCCTTTTATTGTTGCACAGTTGGCACAATTTCTTTTTGCAATTATGTTAGTGGAAGGAAGTATGCGAGGGCCATATGGGTCATTTTATTAAAACATATAATTGTAAATAAAGCATTTGCATATTCAAAATAATTTTAGATTCTATTTAGTATTGCCTACAAATTTTGTGCTGTTGAAGGTCCTGAATGCGATTCTCTCATTTAATTTCATAATTTTATGGTATCAGTTATATATATATATATATATATGTGTGTGTGTATATATGTACATGATATTGAGAATTCGATATTTATGATTTTCCCAATCAAATATTCACTCAGCCATTCAAATTTAAAATATATATATAATATTTATAATTATAATCTATAAATAATATGAAATCTATTTCTTTTCCCTCCTATTTCTTTTTTCCAAACAAAGGCTCTTATTTTTTTTTTAAGCGGAAGTTCCGAGGAGTTTCGCCGAAGCAATTCGCCCCCCCTCCCTTTCTATCTGTCTCTCTCGTTTTGGGAAACATGTCTTCCTCCGGTGGAAGCGACCACGACGGCGGAACAAAAGTTTTTTTCTGCTACAAATGCGATCGCAGAGTCCATATTCCCGTCTCCGATTCTTCCGACCCTTTCTGTCCGTTCTGTTTGCAAGGCTTTCTTGAAGAAGTCGAAAACCCTAACCCTAACCCTTTTGCGGACCCAGAGCCCTCTTTTGGCTTTGATCCTTTATCCTTCCTCCCCTCCTCTTGTCCACTGCTTCTCGCACCAGAATTCGACCTGATTCCGTAGATTCCGACATATTCGACCCTGTTCATTTTCTCCAGAGCCACCTTCGAGATCTTCAGGCTGATGGCGCGAACGTCCAATTTGAGATCAATCATCCTTCTGAACAAGCGTTTCGGCTACCCACAAACATTGGTGATTACTTTCTTGGTCCTGGCCTGGAGCAATTGATACAGCAACTCGCGGAGAACGACCCAAACCGCTATGGCACCCCACCTGCTTCGAAATCTGCCGTACAGAATCTTCCAGCTGTTACTGTCACCGATGAATTGTTGAACTCGGAAATGAACCAGTGTGCGGTGTGTCAGGATGAGTTCGAGAAGGGTACCCAGGTAAAGCAAATGCCTTGCAAGCATGTCTATCATGATGGGTGCTTGCTGCCGTGGCTGGAATTGCATAACTCTTGCCCGGTATGTCGATATGAGTTGCCCACCGATGACCCCGATTATGAGAACCCAACCCACAGGGCCCAGGGGAATGCTAATACGGGGTGGAGATCTGTTGGAAGTGCCAGCAGCAGCGGAGCGGGTAGCAGACCTGTCCAGAGGACTTTTAGGATATCATTGCGTTATCCTTTTGGCTCACGTGAGTCTACTCAAGAGAGTAGCGAGCGAGGATGGGGAAATATGCAAGAAGATTTAGATTGAAGCTGTAAGTAGTTTGCCTCCTCTAATATGTTTTATTCGTTTCCCATGAAATTTTGCTTTTGACTGATTCATTTGTAAATCGTGTACGGGTACTAAAGTGGATGAACGGTTAATTTACATTTCTGTTCGGACGTTGCACCACAGTCCAGAGATAGATCGCATGTTCAAACCATGAAAGTCTATGTTTAGGAAAAATTATAATATTCCTCGTAATTCGCTTCTGCTATTGGTGTGTTTCATTATTGAGTAATCGGCATCAAGGGATTTTGGTGTTAATATTGTCCAAGGTTTACAGAGGGAAGAGCTCCAATTCATGATTTTTTATTATGAGACATACTATGATACTAATATGTTTTGGACTCTCGAGGTTAAATTATCTTGCATGACCCATATCCAGAGTTTTTTTATCACTCGAGATACATATATATGGCTGCAAATGATGTCACCTTTCTTTTCTTTTATTCTCTTCTCTCTTTTGCCTTTGAAGATACTTGCTAGATATTTATCGTTGCAGTCTTGATGTTTACAGTTACTTCGATTGATGAAAAGAGGACATAATGTGCGATTAAGAAGTCTATTTGACATCAAATGAATTCTTGAGGATGAACACATAATTCTGGCAGGATTTGAATACTATGGAGTTCCAATAAAAAGAGGAGACTTGAATATTAGTTTAAGTAAGACTGGATATCTTTTTCCTATGCAATTCGTGGGTTAGATATTGACTCATATATACTTGTTTTTCTAGCATTCAAACCTTACTTGAATGTGTAAAAAATAAGTATAAAAAATGCATGTAGCCCAATAGGAGCAAAACTATTCATGGCTACTGAATAAGTGTAGCTCCATATAAATTTTATATTTTATATTGATATATTGATGATCTCAAATATTAAAATTTTCAGCTCAATTGAATTGTCAATTTCCGAGTGTTCCAAATAGACTCAATGAACGTTGGTATTTTTCTTTAATGCTGTTAAGGATTTCCTTACGCTGATTAATGCACGTCTTTCGACAGTGTTAAAAATTGGACTAAAGTGTATGTCTTGAAAACAGATGGAAGGTCTGTAATTTTAATACGAAAGGAAGGTCATTGTATTTTACTTTATTTTATAAGCTGCTAAATGTTTGGATTAGTCTCAAACATGTGCCAAATTTCCCCCCTTTCTTGTTTCCCTTTATGAAACTAAGCTTTAATCATGTTGGTTGGCGACCTTAATGCTAATATTGTTGCGAATTCTGCAGTTTCATTCTTAAGGATTAGATTACTTTCATCTTTATGTTCTTGCATAGTTTATTGATAAATATGTTTCACCTTATTATTTAAGTAATATGATGTTACAGTGTTTTCTATTTTTGGTCTTTTTTTAGGGTTTTAAATAATCTGATCTGCCTGAGAATAGTTTCTCGAGGGTTCTTCTCATGCTTGAATCTATCAGGCTATCAGACAGGTTACACATGACCCATTTGTGAATTATGGAGCTTTGAGTTCCACTCTAGAAATTTGGAATTTTAAGGGCCCTTTAAATATTGTTTGGCCTAAAACCAAAGTGGGCCAAAGCCCAGATGGAGACATGGATGAGAATGAAAAGGGAGACAGCCCAATTTATTGAATCTCCACCTTCATGAGCTAGCTTTTGGGTGTGGTTTTTCCCAAATTTCCCATCAATTGTTGAGGCTTCTGCTGCACCTCTGTTTCAATTGTGCAGTGAAGTTGGTGAAAATAGTATTACAGTTTTGGGTATGCAACTAGAAAGCTAGATTAAAGATTTCAAACCCCCCTCCAAAAAAAAAAAAAGGCTAGTGTGAAGGCAATTGACATGGTCCCCAAGCTTGTGAAGCATGGGGGGATGGTAGGACCGGATCGTGAGGTGTGGGACTTGAGTGTTGAATCTCACGTTGGATGACCTCATCATAATTTGGGATTTATCATTTATATGGACTTGGACTTTTCAACTTGATAAGCTAACTTTTGGGGATGACCTCACCCCAATTAAGGTGAGGGACCTCCCCCAAAAGCTAGCTATTGAGGTGAAAGGATCACCATATTTTAGTGCCCCCATTTAGTTATCTAGGCATCTCATACTACTTTGGATTCATTTCATCCATTAGGTGCCTTTGGAGAGTTGATGTCCGTGTGATTATATCCTCCACATTTCACTCGGCTTCCTTGCTTTTCAGAGCCTCTGCAGGTAGCCGCTTCTGAAGCTGCTGATGATCAGTTCTGTTAGAAGCCAATCTAATTTGTTGAGTTATATTATAAAATCATAAATGCACCGACGTGTTCTCCCTTTGCTGGGAAAGGAGATTTATTCTGGGATTCTGGGCAAGGCCAAATGACACCCGTGGTCATGCTACTCAAAAACTGGTTAAATTGTTTTGCCTGAAATTGTTAATCATTTTTATTCTTTTCTTCGTTATGCACCCTTCTTTGAGTCTATGGACCGCTCCAATATTGGTTCTCCCCCCCCCCCCCTTTCCACGCCTCCCTTGAACTCTACCAAATATCCAAGTCTCACTCGTTGTTGACGAATGTGTCACGCTCCTGTTATCTCATGAAGATTGGTTTCAATTAATCTGTATATATATAGTAAATATGAAGGTGTTGTTTGATATTATGTACTAATAGATTGCCTGCCCTGATTACATCTACAGGCCATGGTTGATGCCTGGAAGATTGGAAGCTTTCTTGTGCAGCGTAAGGTTTCCGCCAAACATTGGGCATTGCCGCGGTAAAACAAATCTTTAGTGGGGATTGGGAGGTATCATCTATGACTGGGAACTTTATAGAAATCAAAAGGTCATTTTGTCTTGTGCGCTGTCAGGAAATGGAATGCGATTGCTTGACATTAAATGAAGACAGTCATTGAGATTTTAGGCGGTGGTGTGGGGTGTTTAGGACAATTTGTCCCCAGCTTTACTGTACAGATCTTCAATTGTTGATTGCCATCTCTTCTCTTGTATGCTTTCTGACTTTTCAACCTGACTATATTTGAATGAGCTACCGTCCACGTGAGCGGGCTATATAGTAGGGACAATTTCCCGAGATGGGAAAATGGCGTTAGTTGTATTCTTGTATCTTCTTTAAATAATCCTTACAAATTAAGCGGCTCTTTAATTGTATCTTCTTTGAATGGTCGCCTTATGTCTTTGACAAATGAAATAAAGTACCATCTTTTGACATGTTAGTACAACTTAACTACATTGATATTAATGGGGGCAATCAAGAACAATGGTATAATGATGCGGCTGAGTTGACCGTGGCGTTATAATTGAACAGGGAATAAACTAAAATTAAAGAAATAAGATTCTATTTGCGATGTTATGCGAAAAAAATTGGCCTAATAATATGATTGTCGAAGTCAAGGAGCCATTGTTGTTGAGCGTGCTCAAGCAGCTTGGAGGGTCTTCACTTGTATATGAACATCACTCTGGCGTTTGCTTGAGAAAGTGAAGATTATGGACAAAGCTCTGTGTGTTCACTCCGTTGTGGGGATTTTAGCGGCTGCCATTTTGAGCTCAGGCGTCAAGTTCAATCCGCAGAATGAATTGGCGAGAGGCATTTACAGTGCCATGCTTCTTCGGGGAATCAAACTCGTTTTGAGGTTTGTGGATGGGAAGCAGAACGCGAGTGTAAGGATTGTGCCGTTCTGGGTGGCATTCACGCTCTCACTTTCCTGCGTCTTTTGAAGAGGAACCAATATTCAATCAAACATGCGCGCGCGCACTCTCCAACTTGAGCAGCGAAGAGAATGATCAATCGAGTTGCTAGTCCACTCCCTGCACCAAAACTGCCAACCAAACATTCTCTTTCGTATGTATATTTGAAAAATATTATGATGAGATGGCGCATCTCAAGTGAACCTCTCGAGTTTTCACTTGAACTTGTTCCTGCCCGTTGCAATCATGGTAAGAAGCATTTCATTTTTAATCGTGTTTAATCTCGTTAATTAATTCTTCGCCCAATCAAATCAATAATTAATCCAATATTCTTGTTTTCTGGGTTTAACAAGCCCATGTTGTGTTAGGATTAACCTTTTATTTTTAAAGTTGGGCGATGGCTTGTTTGCTTATCCCAAAAAAAAAAAATGCAGTGACTTTTATTTTATATGACTATCTAATTTGATTATACTTGAACATTTTCGGATTCTGTTATTCCTTTGAAGGCATTTTACCTTTTTTCTTCTTAATGCTTATATTATATCAGCTTTACTCATTTTAATTGAAATAAATATATTTTGTTGCTTAGAGGCCAACAAATATGTTTTATCACTCATTTTTCTTACAAGATATTCGAATTTTTGAGCAAGGCTATTTATCCTTCAACATACATGCATCAATTATTATTTTTTTCCATTAAAAAAGCACATTTTAATATTTTAAACTTTTAACTCATTCGTTGTTTGTATATTGCAAGGCATGTATATATGAAATATTTTATCCAAAAAAAAATGAAACATAATGAATTAATATATATTTTTTCTTTTAAAAATATAAGATATTTTTTGAAGAGTTTAATGTTTCAAAATATAAGGCATTTTTAATCTTTTGAAGCGTAATCATTATATTTTTAAAAAAATAGCTCTATTAATAATAACTTTATATTTATTGTAAAATATTTAATAAAAATAAATATAAAAAATATTCTTAATTAAATAGTAAGTAATTATTTTATTTGGGATGAAATTTATTTAAAAATGTTTTAATTTTTTATTAGAGAGAATATTTATATATATATATATATATATAACCAACCGTGTCTTCCGTGTTGGTCACGCTCGGCACGTCGTCGTTGTCATCCTAGGTTGATCGGGGGTTCGTGAGCAACAGTGTTGTGCTCAACCTGAGATTGGTGAAGTTAGAGAAAGAGAGAGAATGGCTTCTGGTATAGAGAAGATGAGCATAGAGCAGCTGAAGGCTCTCAAAGAACAAGCGGATCTTGAGGTCAATCTTCTTCAAGATAGCATCAATAATATTCGCGCTGCCACTGCCCGTCTCGATATTGCTTCTTCTGCCCTCCAGGATCTGTCTCTGCGCCCTCAAGGTTTATCTGCTTTCTTCTCTATTTCTTGTCATTCATTCTGCTACTTTACAAATCTTTAAGATACGTTCATTTCCAATTTATCATTGAGTAATTAGAACGGGGGAGAAACCATTTGCTAGGTTTGCTTGGAGACTTTTCTTCTTTAAGCTTGATTGGGTGCCACTCGAACTATCGAAACTTTTGGAAATTCCGTTCATGTGTCAGGATAAACTAGGGCTGCGGGGCGCTTAGATAAATACTAAATTATAGTATCATACGAGCTCTTTCATTTTGGGCCAGACCATAATAGATTCTGAGCCTATCTGTGGTAGCGTTGAGAGGTTTTTTTCACCCAGAGATGTCTACAACCAGAATAATAATATCAATTTATCAATATATAATGTAAAAGATATAGGAATCTACATGATGGCATACTGTTTAACTTGTGTGGATGCATATCTTTCCACCTGCTTACTCATTGTGGGTCTCTTATTTTATTTTCCTTTTCTAATCTTAGGAAAGAAGATGTTGGTACCTCTTACTGCATCACTCTATGTACCTGGCACTCTTGATGATGCAGATAAAGTTTTGGTTGATGTTGGAACAGGGTACTTCATTGAGGTCAGTCAGTAACTTTTTCTTTACATGCTAAAACTTTTAGCTTTGCGCTGTTTCTATTTTTAGCACTATGAGTTGATGCATCTCATTTAGGTACACAAATAGAACTGATAGAGCGGAGAAAATAAGAAGAGAATCAGCATTGATAACAAACAAAGACCTTGCTGAAACACCAAAACAGAATTATCATTAAGATATGATGTTCCATATAAAAATACTTTGAAATGGTTCTTGCCAGTCTGAGGCTGGCTAAGGAAAAAATAAAACTGTCAAGGAAGAGGAATTGTTGTAACAGATTTGTTTTTTAAAGTGCTAGAATAATCTTTATCATAAATTCTGATTTATTATTTATTGATCTATATTACATAAAAATATATTCTATTGTTTCACAGATTATATATATTTGTGGAAAACCTGTGTGCCTTTTTGCTGATGTTGGTGCACTATAGCATGTTATATCCCCGATTTAAGGAGTGGCAGGGGAAAAAATGTGAATTTTCTAAAAGGCTTTAGGCTAAACTCTAGCAGTGCATCAAGGGCTTCCTACTGCTAGTTTCTTCCACATTCGACCCCAACAGTTTGGCTGCTACAAAAAGTTATCTGTTTTCTCTTATGTTGGCCACTATTTATCTTTTTTGGTTCAAATAACAAATCATTTATGATGTGTTATTTTCTTCAAAACTGTTGTGCTGAATAAATTTAATCTACTCTTGAAACAAATGAGCCAAAAAGGATTCTTGCTGTCTATCCTTTTTATCTCCCCATTACACTAAAATATAAGAAATAAGGATAGTCTATTCTCCTTTCCTATATACCAATTAACTTCTTGTATTCATGCTCTAAATAGAAAACAATGACTGAAGGAAAAGACTATTGTGAGCGCAAAATCAACCTGCTGAAATCCAACTATGATCAACTTGTTGATGTAAGTTTCCTGTAGCAAATCTTTTCTATAATTATTATGATATGGAATTGTGGATTGTTTGACATCCTTTCAGGAAATCGTTACTTAGGGCATGTTAGACTGTTCTGATATGAATATTGTATTCTTTTATATCTACTTAAGTGAATTAATAACTTTTCAGCTTGCAGCTTTGTTTTTGTTGGAGACCTCCCTTTCTTTTGCTCAGCTTGATTTGACTTCTATGTATTCATGACTGAAATTTTCACTAGACTGAAGATATATCTTATGCTCATCTCATTATGTTCTCGATTGATTATATAGTTGAATTGACATGTCCAGGTTATATTCCACTTACTTATGTGTAACTGAAGATGCAAAATACAAAACTGCAGGTTGCATCGAAAAAGCGAAGTGTAGCAGATGAAGCAGGGGCAGTCTTACAGGCCAAATTGAAGCAATTAGCTTCTTCTCCATAGCTAGTCGGTACAGAATACAAGTGCTTTCCGCCAAGACAATGTACCGTAGATGAGCAAATCAGTAGCGTCATTCATATTTTTGTTGGTTGATTTGCATTAAAAAAAGTTCAATATAGACAATGCTTTAAATGGTTTTTTGATGAGAGCTTAAATATGCCAATGACACTACCTACTTTCTACGGAGGAAAGACCAGCAAAGCTGCTTGAAGGACCCCCTTAAATCTCATGTGTCAGTAGTCTCCTCTCCGTCTTAATTCGTTATTGGATTGTTAGAATTCGTCTTGCTCAATCTTTTCGATTAAAGAAGTGCTCATTTTAGGATCTCTTTAATTTCTAGAAGGACAAAGTGCTTCTTTCGCTAGTCTATCGTAAGCCTCCAGAAGGGTATTATCAGATTATACTTGATTATTTTTCTCCTGACTGTTCTTACATCGCAATATATTTTCAGATAATGACGATCAGCTCCAATGATTCTCCGTATTGGAATGAGGCGGGGCTCAATTTTTTCGACTTTTTATTCAGCTTCGAACTGTCTCCGCCTAGATTACGTGTACGCAATTTAATTTTATCGAAACTGACCTTGTTGAATCGAATCTGGAGTTGATGCTCAAGCTCAATATATTCTTCTTCGAGCTCAGATAAAAGAGAAATGAAAGGAAATTTAAAAACTTACATGAAAATGAAATTTTTGAAGATCCGTTTTCTAACTAAATCCCATGATCAACTACTTAGCAACAAGCTTTAAAATTCTTTAATTGTCCAAAAATGTATTCAAGCTATGGTCCATTTTTCAGTGAAACTTTTCTGTATGTTCCGAGGAGGACAGCTCTTGAATGAGTTAATTAGGTTTACTTGGAGGTGAAAAATGAGTTATTTGTGCTTTTCATTTGAAATCATTGCTATAATTTTATTATCCCACTATTCCCAACCATGAATCATAGGTTAGGGGGTGTGTAGACAACTCTTAGCCCACACAAATTGTTAGCTAGTGGGACGAGCTGTGGGTTACCCTTCGAGCTACCCATCTCATATATAGGTTCACATATGTGTGTGTGATAAAAAATTTGCAAAATATCTAAGTTTTACTCCAACCTTCAATTTTCTCTTTCGTTTAGCAACCCTCATAATTGATCGCTCTTGAATCTCGATCTTGCGCCTCGTGAGATCCATCTCCAGTCTCTAGATTCTTTGTTGAAGCTTCCTGAGATCATACCCCATATTCTTCCTTAGAGCTCTCGGGTTTTGTTCACGCATCTCTCATGAAATCCCTCTCTCGATCTTCATTCTTCAATATTGCTTGCAAACGCCTCTCCAAATTCTTCCTTGGAGCTTCCTAAGATCGTCGTGCAAGTTCTGGATCTTACGCAAAGCGGTAATAGATTCATTCATTCATGTGTGAGTCTACACCCTAACCTATACGAGTTTTTGTCTCACCTTACACTTGCGTTCAAATTTCTTTCCATTTTTACCCCATTTGATGTGGGGTTCTGCTATTTGTAAATTAGGATTCTTGAAATCACTCTCTTTTGGGTCCATGTTTGAACTTTTTAACTCAAGATTAAGTTAGTGACTTTATAATTTGTCATTCAACTAACATTATTTTTTCTGTGATCTTTATTTGAAAAAAATAAAATTTAGTCATTATTCTAATAATATTTATGGTTTTGGGACGGGCCGTCCGTACCCATATTAATTCATATAAGTTGGCCTAAGAAAGTAGGTTAAAATGAGTCATACATGGATACAGGCTGGGCTGTCCGTACCCATGTTAATTCATATAAGTTAGCCTAGGTCATTTTCAAGCAGGTTAAAATGGGTCATACATGGATACAGGCTGGGCCAGCCCGTCGGTGTTAAAACAGGAGGGGCTATGAGTAGCCACTCAAGTTAGCCTGTCTTGTCTGGTATAGTCCTATCATGGGTTACATCTGTAGTCATAAAGATTATTTAGATATAAAAATTAATATTTTCCTTTATTACAAAAATATTAAGTTGTGTCCTCTTCCATAGATAAAGTGATAAATCATGTACAATCCAATTTAAAATTATGGTAGATGTAAAATGAGTTAGAAATGATAAGTTATATTTCATTGATCAACATGTATTCCTCGAAAGACGACAGCTAAACACAAACCTCAATCAACCCTCAGTGTCAAAGACGCGCTTCCCTAACATGAATCACTTGTTTCTTTGTTGTATTTGTTACAGAGGATTTGGACCGAATTACTCCTAAAATCCAATTTACATGTCAGAATATGTCCATCATAGCCCAGCTCAGGAAAGAACAGCGATGAACTTCGATCAGGAATAAATGATACCAAAACTTTTAAGTTAACCTTGCAACTTCGAGAATTATTAAAGGAAAGTAACACTTCAGCATTTATTTTTCGTTCCTCACTGCCGGCATTCAATTTGGATCAAAGTCGTCCGCAATCCGCACCAACTGCATCCAGAATGGATTTGAAACCATCTCTCTCCAAGCACTCAGCTAATTCATCCTAGAACCAACAAGATATGAATGCCTTAAAATAACTCTAATGCCATGTATGTGCTCAGAAACTTTCTAATTATAGTAACAATGATATGAGAAACACTAATATGCACAAAGGATAAACTCCAACATGTCTGAGGTTAATACCTTTATTTGAGGGATCAGTGCAGGCCCCCCATAAGCAAAACCTGTGTATAGTTGAACCAGTGTTGCTCCAGCTCGTACTTTCTTGTATGCATCCTCACCACTAAATTGCAAGACAGGCATGAAATTTTATCAATAGAAGAATTATACAAGGCTCATAGAAGGAAATCTACAAATTATTTTCTTTTTTTTAGCTTTTTTAACACAATTAATAGATTATGTATATATTACACTAAAACAGGTAGCTAGAAACCAATTACGCTGACAACAAAGGACTTAATATTTTTACCTGGCAATGCCTCCACAGCCAATTAAAGGGATCTTGCCCTGATAAACATGAATTAACAGAGTCAAGTTCTCAAGCATGCTATTGGCTACTCATAAATAGGATTAACCACAAGGGATGAACAGTATATCAAAACTTTTTAGGTAACAGGAGATTAGAGTTCAAATTACTTGAATGGACACTGGCAAGATTATTAAATCAAGAAATATGCTATCTTGTCAGCAAAGAACTCAAGCAAATCAGTGAGATACCCCCCTGAATACAGCATACTGCTTGTTACAGCTGTCTGTAGTCGTAGACCATATAATTCCAGCCCAAATTTTCATCAAAAGCAGGGAACAGAATGGTCGTTTCTTACTTTCTTCTATGATACAAATCCGATTGTGCCAGCATAAATATACTAAATCTACAACCAAGATATTGAAGAAAAAATAGAGCTCAAATAACTTGTACAGGCATCAGCTAAACAGTCAAATGGAGTACATTGTTTTCCTTGCTCAGAAAAGAGCTCAAACAAATCAGTGAGACACCCTGCGGAACTGCAATGAGTACAGCTTTAAGCTTGCTACATGTATCAACAGACAAAAATCCAAATCCAATTTTCATCAAATAGGGAATGGAATATTTGTTGCCAACATTTCTTCTTACATATAACTTGCCTGCCAGAATACAAAATCTACAACTACAACCCATCATATTTAAGATTGATCCACAGCAAAGAACTATACTTCAAGGAACAAACTTCAGGTTATGGGTATCTTCTATAATGCTCTCTGTTATTCAGAGTTTATAGGTGAGTACATAAGTGATCTAGAATGCTAACCTTTTTTTCTACAATCCTAAGTTGTGGTTGTGGAATGCCTTAAACAGATAGAATTACATACACGAAAAGCACTTGTAATTCAACACTTTTACGCAAATGCCCACTACAAGAACAATGAGCATACCCTTGTCATGATATACATCGCCTTCAAGATATTGGTAGAGAGATCAAAGAGAGGCTTCCCACTCAAACCACCAGCTTCTGCAGCAACAGGATTTCTACTGACAGCTTCTGGCCTTGAGATGGTTGTATTTGATATAATCTAGATACAATTAATGCATCATGAGCAAATGCTGTGAGGATCATACAGTATTTTGCTTTGGTCCCCATTGCACAGTTGCCTAGCAAAATGGTGGGAATGGGATATTGAACTTACGAAACATTTGGGCATCACAAGTAAACTGAGAGATAATCCCCCCCCCTTTCACAACTTATTTTATTTACTTTCCAACAAATTGAGTGTAGTGAAGGGATCGTTGCATCCACATATACAGAAGTTATACGGAGGAAAATAATTGTAAAGTAACAAAGAATAATCAGGCAGGGAAAATGTATTCAAGCACCCTTAATGGGAACCGGCAGACTCACAAGAATCCAGCTGTCTTGCTCATGCAACTAAATTCAGAAGGCATTAAGGCAGCTGACACTTTCTCCTCTTTAGTATAAATGGGGCAACTGACACATTCTGCTACCACCCCAGTGGTTGTTGAAGAGAAACACAAAAAGCACTATGTTCTATTCAATAATCAGTTTTTAAAAGGGTAGATTACAGTTTACTCCCTGTGGTTTAGCTCAAAATCAGCCATATTAATATCTTCTGCAGTGTTACTGTTTATGGAAGCCTTATGAGAGAATAACTTTTGCACCCCACTTAGATGTTCAGCTCGCAGTTCTTTCCAAGGGTTCCTTTTAGAAGATATGCAGAGGGATCGACAGCTTTGCAGCATGTTTAATTTCTTCTATTCTTTTCTGTTTCTACTTGATTATTCTAGTACTTTATCTTAGAAGGATACTTTGGACTCGTCTCATGTATTTTTCTTCCTTCTTCATAACATTTATTCTTTTATTTAAAGAACAATTTAATCAGATTTATATTTTTAATATTACGCAGAATGTGCTTTAATATTTTGCATATGGTGTGCAGGCTCTTGTACCACTTGAAGCAACTGGGAGTTGTGTTATAAAATGATTATGGCATCATTTGAAAAGCTGAGAAATAGGCAGCAAAGCAGATATAAAACAAGCATCGAGCTGAAACTAGACATAAGGAAGAAATATACCAGTCCATCCAGGCGAAGAGCCAAGGCAACCTATAATCAGAGTATAAAACGTCATATACCATCTGAGATGATAGAGATAAGAAGAAAAGTTATTAGCATGCACATGCTCACAGCTGCAATATCTTCGAGGTCTTCTTTTGACAAGTCTGGGGCAATCTTAACAAGCAATGGAGGCGGACCCTCCTCACCCCATTGCATTTCATCACGAGCAGCTTGAACCTTTAAGAGGAAGAAAATTTGCTAGAGTCAATCTCCACAATGCAATATGAAAAACAACCATGGAGAAAGCTTCACATAATTAATTCTACCTTCTTCACAAGATCCTTTAATTGCTTCCTTCCTTGAAGCATGCGCAAGCCAGGGGTATTGGGTGATGAAACATTAATCACCTAGAAGAGATTTACATCATGTGTAATTAAACAGAATATTCAACAAACTTTTTTCTTTTGAAAGATAATAACATGCACTCGTCTTAACCGTCTGCAGTAAGATGCCCAAAAATATCATTGATCTCCAGATTGGTTGTCTTTCACCACAATTGCTATACATCTACCAAAATCCACCCCACCGCACCCCACAAAAAAATTTAAAAAAAAAAAAAATCAGATTCTCCTGAATGAATTTTTTCACTTTCCAAATTAGGGACTGGAATTTCTAGATTTCACATTTCTAAACCATATAAACTTGGCATCTTATCTTTGTTTTATATGAAAGTCTACCATAACACTTTGCACCCAAAAATTCAAAAAGTGAATTGAAAAAGGAAATATTCAATGTGGGTTAGGCTCATCTTGTTATCTTCCTCAAAATACAGCTTTGAGCTCAAATTTGAGACTTCGTTTTCCTTTTTTATCAGGTTGGACAGCCCACAACCAATGGCCAAGTCTAGCTCAATATCTACCTCCCATTTGTATTTTTCCTTTTTGTTGAACTATCAGGGTAAAATAGAAATATAATAAATGGCACACTTGCAATATCACGTCTTCAAGTATTTATAGAACCAACTACTGATCACTTGCTCCTTGACTGATGACTTGAGCATTTTTTGTTGAATGGTTTCTAATCAAATGAAAAAAGATATGCAGTTGGCCCTACTGGAATTTGAAGTATTAGCATATTTTTTCCCGCACTTCACTCCGTAATCCAGAGTTCCCCAAGTTTGAAACATTGGCCTTTATCATCTACTTAAAGTAGGGCACGATTTACAGACAACACAATTATCTTAACATGCCATGTTGCTTGTGAAAGTAGGATATTGGGGCAAATGGTAATGTCATAAAATCAATGATTCTGAATGTAAATCTTTGACCTCTTTAGTCCTTAGATTGTTCGCAAGCCTCCCTTCTCCTATTAATTGAAGTATGTATTTATAACTAATTTACTTCAAATGGTTTGGTATTATGTCTCATCTAGCTGATGCTAGACCATACACTATAGAGTTTTATTGTTAATCTAGGTATATTTTTATCTTGAAAATACATAGTTCAAACTTTGGTAGCTATTATTTCTAGATCCAATATGATTGCATGGGATACTTTTCAATCCCAGGAAACAAGGACAGTTTACTAGATACACTGATGCCCCTCTCTAACTTGACAAAGGTAGACACCTAGTATACAGGATAGAGATGAAACGGTGCCCCATTTTTTTAAATCAACTGCAACCAATCATGAGAGAAAAAAGTTATGGAAAACAAGCTTCATTTGTTTGTAAGAGGCATGTAAGAAAAGGGCACTCACCAAATAATCAGCATACTGGGAGAGTGTATGAACACCTTGAACATAATCTGCTCCAGCATCTTCACTTGTCTTGTTTTTTCCAAGATTGACACCGAGAATTCCAGGGCCAGCTTTTCCACCATGCTTGACTTCATTGCTAGAAGAATTTGAAGCACTTGAAGTTTCATCCAACTTCCTCTTACCATGCTGTGCACCCAGCCGCTTTGCAACAGCAACAATTCCCTCACTATTAAAGCCACATCTATTTATGATAGCACTGCATGTTAAAAAGATTGATCAACCAGCAAGATAAATAACATACACAGCCTCAAAGAAGTCTAGGTAATTTGAAGTAAAGCTTTCCCATTCTGAAACTTTCTGCAATGTCAAAAAGTGATTATAAAAGTTAACCCAAAATAATAATAATAATAATAATAACAACAACAACAACAACAGGTATGGGTCTTAACAGCAGGAAATGACGGACAAAACAATATACAAGCTCATACCCTTCTGTTCGCAACCTGAAGATGCGAGGCTTTGGGTTGCCATCTTGAGGAACAGGTGTAACAGAGCCAACCTCTACAAAGCCAAAACCCAAACCAAGTAAACCTTCAACAGCCTCCGCATTTTTATCAAAGCCTGCAGCAAGGCCTACTGGGTTAGAGAACTTTCTTCCCCAAACTTGTAGACCTAAGATTGATGGATCAGGCCTCTTCTCCCGAGGAACCCAACCACGAGCTGCAGCTGAGACAGCAAGTCTATGTGCAACCTCTGGGTCCAATAGTGCAAAAAAAGGATTCACAAGTTTTGTTGCAGAGAATAACCATCCACTGCCAAGAAGATAGCATGAAACTAAGATCACTTATTTAAGCAAAGCTCGATCTATCTCTTTCTCCCCAAGTCAAAAGTGAGAATGTATTCTATAACCAGAGCAATTTTTTGTTTATTAACCTTGCTAACCCTATCTACTCAACATTCCACTAAACACAACTCCTTTTAACATGGGGAAGACATTTAAGCACAGGTACAGAAAATATTTTATATGATTTAAGTATATATCCCAACATGTCAACCATCAGAAATTTGTTTCCCACCACTAACAGAACAACTTATGTCTAGGATGAAAAACGAAAAAGGAAAAGCATCATCATCAATCATTTTTCTCCACCAAAGTAAATAACTTAACGAATTCCATAAAAGTGAAGGTTTAGAAGAATACATTAAAAGCAGACAAAAAATAAGTATTTGGGTAGGCCAAAGAATTTATTTTCTTCCAAAGGAAAAAGAAATCTACCCTATTAGAGAAGCAAAAGAAAATGCAAAGTTTCACTCAAACTCCCAAATGAAGTACCAGAAAGTAGCTTCATCCACAGTACTCACATAAGCTCCACTGGCTATAACAAGGCCTAGGGTTGCTCCTGTCAATAACCTTCCCTACAATTTAAAGCGATCAAGGTGAATACTTTAGTATCAGAGAAACGACTTCAACATGTAGAGGGAAAAAAATGTACAAGAAACCACAAAGGATTGTCAACTTCCCCGATCAAATAAAAACACTAGGCACAAATTTGTGAAATATACAATATGATTTATCTATAGCTTAGACAGTCTTTCAAGAAAAAGAAGAAATCCTCAAATGAGGAAACACCAGAAAACCTCAAAAGGAAGGGGGGGGGAAATACAAGGCGCCTGAAATGCTAACGAATGAAGTAAAGCTGACCAATTTGACAGCATGTTAAGCACACAAAAAGGCAGCATATCTTTAACAACCGCATCATGTAATGGCACATCAACTTAACAAACTTCAGTTCAGTTTTGGAATTTTAAAATATTACTAGTAAGAACTAAGGAATCATTATCATGTCTGAATTTTAAAGTAAATCTTGCTCACCTAATTAAGATTTTTCCATTTGATCTGACACTGAAAACATATAAAAGAAGAAAGAAAGAGGAAAAGGAGAAAAGACTACACTTTCATCTCCATACCTGAAAGCAAATTTAAAACCAAGGATACAGTTTGAGCATTAATAAAAAAGGAAGCCTAAAAAGAACCCCAAATCTATATTGCATTGATTATACTAAGAACTGCAAGATGCTTTCAGATATCAGTGAGAATCAATTCAGTTGTTCTGCTCTTATATCTATCACTTAGTTTAAAGAAATCAATAAATAACACGGAAAGTAGATGATACAGTTGGCCATAATGATTATGCACGAAGATAACCAAGACACGACAAAAATCGACAGTGAACATCTTCAGAATACGTCCATCTAGTTGATTGTACAATTAATTACTGGTACAAAACAAATCCAGACAAAGCAAACTTTACACGTTCATGAAACCTACAAACTCAATTGAAGGATATATGCCAGCATAAGAACCAGGATTACAAAATAAACAAACAAATAAAATATAAAAAAATGCTGATTTAGCAGATGATCCTGCTAACGCGATCCAAGATCTAAGGATAACAAGGAATAAGCGACGGGATAAGTCCAGTTTCTTAAATTTGTTTCCATGTTTTTTTAAAAAAATATATATTTACCAAACATATGTACAATAAAATACGAACGCAATCGCTACGATGACTACATGTCAGCAAATGCATGTCAAGATGAATGAGACTTCCTCCAACCAAAAAGGGGGGGAAAAACTGCAATATGTAAAATTTGCGAACTTGAGCGAATTTGTGGAGAAGAGAGGTTAAAAAGCTTACTTTCTTCGAAGAATGGGTAATCTTAGAAACATTTTCTACTACAGAAGAGTAACATCTGGTGCCCTGGAGAGGACGTGAAGCTGTCCTTTTAAGCAAAACATCTCTCAATAGCTTTCTCGAAAACCATGCAGCCATGAGTGTAGAGAAAGTGCAAGTATCTCCGGTTAATTGTAACTCAAACACAGCACTCAGAAAAGCAATTCCCAAAAGGCTTGCAAGCTAAGCAGGACAGAGAAATTATCATTCGTTATCGATAGACCAGTTCCCGTTTCTCATAAAGGGAACGTGAGTACTGTAAGCCCAGGTTTCAAGCTGCACAGAGCACCAGGCAGAAGCTCATGACAGAGGTGGCTCGCGAGGTCGACAAACTCCAGTACGGTGGTTCCACTGGCAGCCTTTCAAGGACGATGGAGCCGTCGGAAGGGAGAAGGACTGCGGTACTCGACCGCGAGCTTGATTCTTGAAGGGAGGCCTCCTTCGCTGACGTTACGACGTCGTTCTCCGAGAAATATTGCACTTTTCCTTGGATTCTCAAATCTCAAATCTTGCAGGCCCAGCCTCTTCCGCCTTCTTTTTCCACAAAAAGGTGTACCCTCATCAGACGGAATTTTCTTTTAATTTTATTTTTCGGGCTATTGCTTAGCTAAATTATTCAAGGCCTCTGGCATGAAGCCCGAGTTAACCAGATCCTATGTTGGACTGAGCGTAAATATCTCATTTGATATGCAAAGCCCGCCCAATGTTGCATTCTCTTTGATGCTTTTAATAACATTATATTGACTACTTTTTTAATTAATAAAATTCGTTAAAGTTAATTAAATATTAAAAAATTTCACAATTTTGATAACAGAATATAGAAAAACCATTATAAAGAGTTAAGATCATTTTTAGAAATAAGTTATAAATATTTCATTAAATTTTAATAAGGGTCTATATTAAGAACCAATAAATATTACCTTATAAATTTAACCAAAAAAATATAAAAATTATCAACATGAAAAATATCACGAATATAGGATACAATTCTAAAAGAATCCATATTCTAATTTAATACATAATGTGTCCTAATTTGCATGTTTTTAATTATAAAAATTCACTCTATTAAAAAAATTGTAAATTATAAATAATACTTTAATCAACTTACATCAAACAACTGGATGCAGCAAGTGAAAAAATCACGTAGCTATGGTATAAGTTCTACATGGGATATATTATGAGTGCTTGTTAATTTGTTTCAAATTGATTGTTTTTCAAACTTGAAAACTAGCAAATATTTATGGCAAAAAAAAATTTCCTTTAAGAAGAATAATACGATTTTCAACTAATACTTTTTATTAAAGTTCTGACGTTTATCTTTTAAATTTTTCGTTTATTATCTTGCTAACATTATTAACAAAAGTAATCTGTTGACGGGCAACTATCTCAGATTTTATTATTTATGGTTTCGAAGCAAATATAAAAATTGAAAATGGGAAAATTACTGTGAACTCACGGGAGAAGTTGAATTAATTAAAGATCCCATGAAATAGATAAATTACTTTGAAGTTCTAAGGGACTCTAGTGTAAATAATTTTTGTTGTATAATTACTATATTACCCACGTTGAAAAAGAAAATGAAGGCAAAAATTCTCACCCCAGCAAATCCATTTTCTCCTCTCTCACCTCTTTTATGATAATTCGCTGCTCTTTCCCCCTTCATTACCATGGCTTGAAACTCACTATCATCAAGAAGAGGAACCGCTCAAATTGTTGCCAAGCAAGACTGTCACAGCTTTGAAACATGCTTTGGACTTCCAACCAGGATACAAAGATGTGTAAAGGAAGTTCTAAGGCTAGTTTCACTAAAAAAAATTGCCCTTACTCACCAACACCCCCCCTAATTTTTAATCTATATTGCTGTCATCCTCACTAGTCAGAGAATGTGAGTCCTCATTTGTCAACGCTTCAGGTTGGGGTTGCAACTGACTATGTTGATGTGTGAGAATGATGTTGTCAACTTAGATATCCTCAGAGAATTAGGTAGTCAGATGTGAAAACTCAATCTACGATATAGTTTTAGCTTGCATCGTAAAGTCGCTAGAGACTCGTTTCTCTCACTTTGTCGGTTTCTAGTTGTTTACAAAATTTTCTGCCACGTTCTTTTGTCCATTGGATTCTATGGAAGGGGAGGCAATTGAAGTGGATGACATAATTTGAATGTATACGACGACGACATCTTCTCTAGGAAAACAGAGAAGGTAAAGTTATAAATTGGTGTGACAGCTTTTCATAATTCTTAGATTGAAAGATACATTGATTTTAAAAAGAAAATGAGTTTGCTGGAAAGGTAGTTCTGTCTTATTATTCTCCAAATAATGGCCAATATTGTAATTATATAATAAAAAATTATATACACCAAAATTTTTAGGGAGTTCAAAGTCATTTCTCCATTTCATAGGACCTTTGTCAAATTAAAAATTTTTTTATGGGACTTAACAATGATTTTTTCAACGGAGCAAAAATGAACACGAAAAGAGATGACTGTTTTTATTCAGTTTAGGGTTGTGGTCTTTTTTTTTTTTTTTTTTTTAACAATGATGTACATTCACAATATCACGAAGCATAATATTAGATAGTTCTAAGAAATGCTTCCCTCTCATCATTGACTATCTTAACACAGCAAGATGATGGTCGCTCAATAGTATAAAACTGCCTATCAAGTCATCAACATTTTTAGTTAAATAGTGGGCATAATAGTTTGTCACAGTGAACATGGCCGCGCAAGAATTAAATCCAAAGACCCAGTTGGCATTGTTGTCCCTGATTACCCCTTCACACACAGAAGCATCAACGTCCAAACGAACAGCACCTGCTTCCGCCCTCGTCATCGTTGGTGAGCCCGAATTAAACTTCTCCCCAAGGTTCCATAAGACTGTAGCATGTTCAAGCCCCCATTTTGCCTTCTGAAGAGCTGCAAAATTTCAAGCCCTCTCATCTAAATATCAAAAGTCAAACCCCCACCCAAAAATAAATAAATAAATAAAGCATAAAAGAAAAGAAGGGAAAACAAAGCTCTATTCGGGCACGGGGCACGGATACACACATGAACGTGTACCCGGATCGCTAATAGTGTAATGTAATATATATATATATATATATATATTTTGTATTTTTTTCCTTGTTTTCAATGAAATTTCCTCACCCCGGCGCTCGTGAGGATCCATTTCCGATTAGGGCAGCTCGCGCCAACATCCATTCTCATAACCGGTCGCTTCTTTCCTCCTTGCCGCGGCGAAACCCTGATCTCCCTCTTCTTATTCCGCTTTCGGTGTCTGCTGCGGCGTTCTCAGACTTGTTCCTGGTTTTCCCTTTCTTTTGGTGCGTCACTTCTGATATGTAAACTTCTCTTGTGTTTAATGCTTTGCTAACTGCTGATGAAATTGATTTTATCGCTTCATTTCAAGTATTTTCATGGCTTCTTTTGATTTTTGACCTGATAATATGTCAAACCAATGCTCCATTGCATTTTCCATTCTCTGGGAGAGGTCAGGATGGTATACAACTAGGTTAAAATAAATAAATAAATTCATTAGGAGGCGATAAGCCTATAACAGAAAATACATGCATATTTCTATCCAAAAAAAAAAGAAGAAGAAGAAGAAAAAGGAAAGAGAGAAAAGACATGAACGTTTTTATGTATCTTGATATAGCTGGAATATTTGATATATAGAGATAATAGTATTACAGCATCTCGGAGAGGGGGAATGTTGATATTTCTTGGTCTTCGTGATGGAAAAAATTTCTTTCAATTACATTTGGTGGTTTCCTGATATAGAGTGAAATATATGGATATTTCTGCCAAGGGTGTTAGATGCATCCCATGTCATCAAAATTTTGGTTATTTTCTTTTGTTGTATCTAATTCAAAACAAAACTTATAATGAGACTTATTGATGGTTCAAATGCTAGACCACACTATCTGTGGCCTGCGTATCAGTAAAAAGATTTTATTAGAAGTTTAGAACACTCATGAAAGCCACTATCAACGTGAATTGTGGAAGATATATTATCCGGCTTGGAAGTTCTAAGTTTATGGATAATCGTATTGCTGTGCTACATCAAATTACTATGGAGTTATATTTATTGTGTCCTAGGCTTCTGCATTTTGATGTATCCCTATTCAGGTTTTTTTTAGAGATGACCCTCTGGAAGAATTTTCTTGGTGACGAAACACAACTTCCTATGCTAGTTTTACAGTTCTCACCATCTTCTTCAGGTCTCTCTTGACCAGAAAGCTTTGTCATCCAAGTCCTTCTGTGGCATCATATATTACTTTAGAACTGATCAAGTTGCTGCACTGGAGAGACTGATTCACTTTATTGGACCAAAAATGACTGAAATCTATAGTCCCACAGCTTGCAGACAGTTATCTCAGATGGTCATCGCAATCATCTTCTTTCACAGTTCTGAATATCTCTTAGCCCTTGCTATTCATGGAAAATCGAATGTATCTCTTAATTCTCTTTTGATTAGCAAAAGCTACCTTCTGGCGATGTTCTTTTCATTGGTGGAATACGTTGTTGAGATTGCTTTATTTCCTGAGCTAAAGGAGCATTGGGCGATCAGTAATTTGGGACTTGCCATGGTTGTGATTGGGGAAATTATAAGGAAGATGGCAATTATAACAGCTGGGCGAGCCTTTACTCATGTTATAAAAAATTATTTTGAAGAGCGTCACCAATTGATTTCGCATGGGATATACAAGTTTATACGTCATCCAGGGTACTGTGGTTTTCTCATTTGGTCTGTTGGCACTCAAATAATGCTCTGCAATCCCTTATCAACTATAGCATTTTCAGTTGTTGTTTGGAGCTTCTTTGCTAAGAGAATACCATATGAAGAGTTCTTTCTGAGACAGTTTTTTGGAGCACGGTATGAGGAATATTCTCAACGAGTTGTGTCTGGGGTCCCGTTTGTAAAGTGGAGGTCAGCCAATTTTGTGAACTGAACTGTATGCTCAGCTTTTCATACTGATTCCATTCCAAGTCATCAAAATAGGCTAAAGAGTTTTCTTCTCAACTCACTGTGAGATCGACTCCAGTGCACGTCGCTGGAGGTGACAGGATGTCTTGATATGTCCATGTGCTTGTCTGGAACATTTTAACAAAACCATGTTTGTTACAGAGTGGTGATGCAGATGATGGCTTCGCGGTCTAAAAAGAGTTCGGAGAAACCTAGTTGGTTTCGTCCAACCTTGTCCCAAAATATTGCGTGGCATCCAGCAACATTATTACTTTTGCCTGTGGCAGATGTTCTGAAGTGATTCAAGCTTAGGCATGTCTAGTCAAATGATGGGAGCTTAGCATCCATTCAATTAGGTCCCTTTGGTTAGGTTTTGATTATATGCTTAGAATGCAAGATAACCGCTACTCATGACAATGATGTACTTGGTTCAATCTTTACCCTCTTTTTGGTAATTCTTATTTATATTTGATGAAACAAATATGATAACCATCCATATAAAATATAAAATTTGTAAAAAGTAATAAGTTGACAAATCATCGTGATCTCTAAACAAATGTATGGATCTATTCTAATTATAGGAGTAAATATTGTACTCTTTTATTGAAAAATATAAAATATTTTTTTATCAGATCTTATCGTCTAATAAAGTAATTATTGGTCTTTAAATCAATTTTATTTTATATATTTATTCTTATTTAATATGGTATTTTACCATAAAAAAATATAAAGTAATCTATTTAATGGGGATATTTTTTTAAAAAAGTAATGATTACACTTTAAAAAATTTAAAATCCTTTATATTTTGTAATATTAAATTTTTAAAAAAGATCTTATTTAATGGAGGAGTAATTGGTTTCATTACTAGTTGTGCTTACTTTGACCCAATTTGTATAATATATATGTATATACATTATGATTCTACTCTTGCTCGCCAAAGAGGGGGGAAAAAAACTACGTTAAATCCCTGAACATTCTTTACGAGCCAATTTACATATCTGTTAACTTTTTGTTTTTTTTTAGCATACTATATATTAACTTTATCATAGATATGCTCAAGCTTGACATTCCGAATTAAGGTTGAGTTTCTTAATTTCTTCAGTTGTACTTTCTAAGAAAAAGCCTCTCACATTATCTCAAACATAATATCAAGTACTTAAATCCAGTCGCTAGCAACCAAAACATTCTGGAGCCTATTACAAGGACTTTGAGAAATATCAACCAATTCCACAGCAATGATTTATAGGTTTTGTTTCTCTCTTTTAATGTGTTCCAGGGGTCCATAACCCCAAAGAGTACTTATATGAGATGGCTGTAGAACTTGTAAGCTTCACTTTTAGCATGTTGTAATGTAATATTTGCCCCCTTATCATAATATAATATAAATATGACATGAAAGGCAATCAATCTTACTGTGAATTTTGTTATGGAAAACATTTCCAATCCCTTCAAAATTTGTATGTAATGATAATAAATTGACATGCACACGGCACACAAAATATCATAACAAGAGAATCACATTCCAATCTGATGGCACTGAAAAAGGTAATCCTTTTCATAGCACGATGCTGGGAAGAAAAATATCAATGACATATTTATAACCATTAAGCATCTCTTATAATGATTTTTTTAAAATTTAAACTTGTATATTCAGCATTTCAGATTTCACATCTAAAACGTGGCTTTTATTCCTATTTCATTGTCCATTACTCTGATTAAACCAGCCTTCCATCCGCGAGATTATAATAATGAAGTGGGGAAGGGAAAAAGGGAATGGACACTAAGGCCCATTTGTTACAGTTTATTTTATAAGAAAAGATTAATTATTTTTAAAAATTTATTTTGTAAGTTTTTATAATATTTATTTAATTTTTTTAAAATAATTAAAATATAAAATATGTTTAATTATTTTAAAAATATAATAAAATATATTTTAAAGAGACGAGATATAAAAAATATAATAAAATTTTAAAATAATAGAATGATAAATTATTTTTATAAAGTAAAAATTAAGGAAGATATTGTAAAATTTTAAAAAAACTAAGTAATAATTTTTTTATTAATGTAATCAAATGTAAAATAATTTTTTTATTTTTATAAAAATTTAATAAAATAAATTTTTTAAATTATTTAAAAATTATTTATTTTTAAATTTTAAGTCCTGATATTGATTGGGATAAGATGAGGAACCGTGGGGCCCAGTTAATCTGGTTTTCAGATCTTAAAACGACCATACGATGGAGACAATTCCTGTATTTTACACTAGAGCAGCAAATATTTGCCGGCCTTTCCAGACAGTTCTCTGGGAGCTATAATCACCTGCTTCCTCACCCATCATAAGATCCTCCGTAATTGGCCCAGAAATAAAAATCTTGCATAGGTGGTAAATAATCACCTACACTGCATGCTGCTTTGAGCCTGGCTCGGCATCGCTGTCCCTCGCCATTGGTACATTGAATTAACACCTTACCATTTTCTTTTTCTTTTTCTTTTTCTTTTTCTTTTTACACTATTAAAGCCTTGGGGACTCTTTTAAAAAAAAAAGGAATTATTTAAGGAAAATAGTTAATATTCAATTATAAACATAACGCTAAAGCTCTTCGTCTGTCCAATATTATTTTGTACTGGTATTATCTCTCCTTTTAATGTCCATTCAAAATATTCTATTTTGATCATGAATTTTAATAGTTAATTCTTGGTTGGTTGCTAATTTGAGAATACATTTTGAAAGAAGTCTGATGGAAGAAAAAGAGACCAGTAAAAGTATCATTCTTTATTGATATAAAAAAATTATAATATATAGACTATCTTAAGAATAATTAGTAAATATTTTAATAATATTTAATAAATATAAAATAATTTTAAATATAAATAGAATATAAATCTCAACAGAAAACAAATCTCGATGGAATAAATTTTTAGGGATAATATATCCTAACACAATCAATAATTTACAAGCTTATATTTTTTAAATGACAATTTTTAATAGAAATATTTTTTCAGCTTAATTTCATTTGATATGGAACTTTTTTCTCATATCAAGTCAAGTCAATTTATACTCAATATCCTAATAGTTTGTATACATAATTTGTTTTAGCACAAAGTTTTCATTGTCTGGTCAATATAATTAAATTTTCAAGAGTTATTAGCAAATCAAAAGAAAATTATGAACAGTGTGAAATTGTAATTAAAGGAGGAGGAGGAAAAACTATCATTTGGGGTTCTTTCATGACTATACATCATCTATTAATCTAACAATAGCACGAAACCATTTAGCTTTTTAATCAATATGGATCGCATATGCACATCCGATAACAACAATAAGGCATATTGTCTGCAATGAACGTGTCGGGTTTTAAAAGTTGGGATCTTATTTTGGCAAAAAAATATAAAAAGTTGGGATCTTGCCTAAACAATTAAAAAAAAAGATTTAAGATTAAACGACTGCTTAACAATTCCTCATTAAAAAAATACGCCTCTCAAAGAAAATAGCCTCTGATAATTTAAAAAACCTTTGCCAACTAATAAAAAAAAGAATTTAATTTTACCGCTAGTTAAATATTTACGAAAAGGTTGCCTGTGTCTATGTGAGGAAGACTGTAAAATAATAAATATAAACGATAATACAGTTTCTGCCAAATAACACTATAGTTATATATCACTTCCTCCGTTCAAAAATTATAAAATATTTTTTAAGAAGTTTGATATTAAAAAATATAAGACATTTTTAATCTTTTGAAGTTAATTATTAATTTTTTTAAAGTATTTCTATTAATAAAAAATTATATTTATTGTTAGGTATTTAATAGGGATAAATATAAAATATAAAGTTAGCTTGAAAATAAATAATAATTTATTAGAAAGTAAAATTTAATTATAAATATTTTATATTTTTGAAGGAAGGAAGTATAATGTACTACAGGAGCATAAACAAATGTATTTACTATGCTGGTTGAGGAATAATCAAATATAATGATTTTTTTTTTTTTTTGAGTGAGAATCGAATGTAATGAAATCGTCAATTCATTGAGAGGGGATGGCGATTGAGAACCTCCTTGAAAACCCCTGTTTTTTTTTTTTTTTAAAGGCCAGCTTTAAAACTCAATTATTAGTCCCACATGATTTGACCCCCAAAAAAAAAAAAAAGTCCCACATGATTAGATTTTCGACAATGGACCACCCCGCAACTTCTTTGAACTTTCATTGTGAATTTGTTATTATTTTTAGGGAATTGCACTTATAATTACATGTTTTTGTAAATTAAACATATATAATTAACAGCTCACGACCTCATTATTTATTCTTGTTTTAATTAATGTCAAGACACAAATTTAGCATTTCTTATTTAAATATCCTCGTAATTCAATCAATAAGCAATTTTATGTGTTTTTTTGGTGATCCGCAAGAAGAAAATAACCAGGAGTTATTTAAAGGACCTCCTAGCCAGATACAGACACTGACATTATGAGAGGGTAATTACATTGTTATTAATCATGAGTCTTCATTCAATACTTTGACAACTTTTATAAATTTGCTTGATAGATATGTTAACATTAATTGCATCAGCGCCTGCTATAATATTTAAGTTTATTCTAATATAAAATATGTTCTTTTTTTAAAAGCTACCTCCACGTAAGCTTATGATAATTGCATATTATTGATTTTAAGTGTGTGTTTTTCATGCAAACAGTTCTCCGGTAAAAGTAACAATTCCTTGCGTCTCACGAAGGTAAATTTTAAAAACTGTGCAAACGAAGAAAGTTAGATAGAAATACAGAAAATAAACACGTCATAAATAGATAAATCAAGTTTTGAATAAGAAATGGCAGCAGGGTTATTAAAAGTACTTGAATCCAACGTATACATCTATTTGGGAAAAAATACAAACAAATATATGTTAAGTTTGATTTGTTGAATAATGAAACACCATATCAAATGTTTTGGTCTCGACTCTGGATTAAATCACGCACAGGAAAACGTATAAACGCTGCGCGTTTGTCTGTACATACATAATTTAATTAAAATTGTCAATGTCAATATTGACTTATTCAAGGGGGGAACGGCTTGTTTACATCACAAGATTAAGGTCACTATGGTCTTTGAAGCAGTCTGTCAACCAATAATGTTTGTATTTGTAGCTCGCCAAGATTTTTTTCTTGCAACCGCACAAATATCTTATCAACACATGGGTGCATTGAGTCTCATTCCCTCGCCAATGTTTACTTTATATCAATCTATTAGCTCTCGTAACAAATAAACATACACGAACTTCACGGGCCAACAAAAGAAAAAACATGAACTTGTCGGCAAAACCTTATAAAATAAACCTTGTTGGCAACAAACAGAAAAAAAAAAAACACACATTAATTATCCAGTTTGACCTAGAACCAAACTATCCAATAATTCTTCGTCGTGTCAAATTCTCCATCTCCCAAATCGTGCATGCAACAAGGGA